TGCCAGGACTACCGCAGGCCTTCTACCCTGACGATCTGGACAATCCTCTACAGACCCAAGTACACCTCGAGGAGGAGTTAGGAAGTGGCCCTGGGACAGCCGGTTCGTTGTTGCCATAGACCCAGTCAGCGTGTTGTGGTCAGGATCCCAGCTGACCCAGTGGCAGCCCCCTCTGCCACTGTTAGGGCCCTGGGCCGGGATGCAGTGGAGTGGGTGGGCCTGCGTCCCCCCTGCCATCCCAGCCCCTGGGGTCGCAGTCTCCCCCTCCCTAGGATAAGAGGCCAGTGCTTGTCAGGCATCCGCCGGAGCTAGGATGCCCGAACCCCTTGCTGCTTGACCCTGAAACAGAAGCCCAAGCTATAGACTCTCATTGCCCCACCCTGACTGAGCCAAACCTAAGCCATTCTTTTTGGGTGACAGATCTGAGGAACTGTCCCAAATTGAGGGAGGTTTTAGAACAAATTGATAAACTAAACAGTAGTAAGTCTCCAGGACCTGACGGTATTCCCCCAAGAGTTCTGAAGGAACTCAGATGTGAAACTGCAGGACTACTAACTGTCATCTGTAACTTATCATTTAAATCAGCTTCTTTACCAAATGACTGGAGGATAGCTAATGTGATGCCAATTTTTAAAAAGGGCTCCAGAGGTGACCCTGGCAACTACAGGCCAGTAAGCCTCACTTCAGTACCGGGCAAATTGGTTGAAACTATCGTAAAGAACAAAAGTGTCAGACACATAGATGAACATAATTTGTTGGGAAATAGTCAAATGTTTTTTGTAAAGGAAATCATGCCTCACCAATCTATTAGAAATCTCTGAGGGGGTCAAAAAGTATGCGGACAATGGAGATCCAGTGGATATAGCGTATTTACATTTTCAGAAAGCCTTTGACAAGGTGCCTTACTAAAGGCTTTTAAGCAAAATAAGCAGTCATGGGATAAGAGGGAAGGTTCTCTCATGGATTGGTAACTGGTTAAAAGATAGGAAACAAAGGGTAGGAATAAAAGGTCAGTTTTCAGAATGGAGAGAGATAAATAGGGGTGTCCCCCAGGGATCCGTACTGGGCCCAGTCCCATTTAACATAGTCATAAACGATCTGGAAAAAGGGGCAAACAGTGAGGTGGCAAAATTTGCAAACGGTACAAAACTACTCAAGATAGTTAAGTCCCAGGCAGACAGCGAAGAGCTACAAAAGGATCTCACAAAACTGGGTGACTGGACAACAAAATGGCAGATGAAATTTAATGTTGATAAATGCAAAGTAATGCAAATTGGAAAACATAATCCTAATTATACATATACAACGATGGGGTCTAAATTAGCTGTTACCACTCAAGAAAGAGACCTTGGAGTCATTGTGGATAGTTCTCTGAAATCATCCACCCAATGTGAAGCAGCAGTCAAAAAAGCAAACAGAATGTTGGGAATCATCAAGAAAGGGATACATAATAAAACAGAAAATATCAAATTCACTCTATATAAATCCATGCTACATCCACACCTTGAATACTGCATGCAGATGTGGTCGCCCCATCTCAAAAAAGATATACTGGAATTGGAAAAGGTTCAGAAAAGGGCAACAAAAATTATTAGGGGTATAGAACAGCTTCCGTATGAAGAGAGATTAATGAGACTGGGACTTTTCAGCTTGGAAAAGAGGCGACTAAGGGGGGATATGATAGGGGTCTATAAAATCATGAGCAATATAGAGAAAGTAAATAAGGAAGTGTTATTTACTCCTTCTCATAATACAAGAACAAGGGGCCACCAAATGAAATAGGTAGCAGGTTTAAAACAAAACACAAGAAAGTATTTTTTCACGCAACGTACTGTCAACCTCTGGAACTCCTTGCCAGAGGGTGTTATGAAGGCCAATACCATAACAAGGTTCAAAAGGGAGCTAGATAGATTCATGAAAGATAGGTCCATCAATGGCTATTAGCCAGGATGGGCAGAAATGGTGTCCCTAGCCTCTGTTTGCCAGAAGCTGGGATTGAGTGACAGGGGATGGATCACTTGATGATAACTTGTCTATTCATTCCCTTTGGGGCACCTGCCATTGGCCATTGTCAGAGGACAGGATACTGGGCTTGATGGACCTTTGGTCTGACCCAGTATGGCCATTCTTATGTTCTTATGATTAAGGGCCTGGCCTCCCTACCTGTGTTTCGTTGCTGGGCCCTTACCACAGGCCTGAGCTATAGACTCGAGCGGTAGACTGTTGTCACCCCGCTAATGCCCCACGGTAGGCGACGAACAGACACGTGGTGAGGCAGAGTGGCCTCCCATGGACCCGGATGGGGAGGATCCCCCGCCGCTAAACCACCACAGGCACAGAGAGGTAAAGTGACTTACCCAAGGTCACAAGAATGTGTCAGTGGCAGAGCCAGGAATAGAACCCAGGTCTCCGTCTCGCAGCCCTAATCATAAGATGATAAAGAATAGGACAGAGCAACTCATTCATGCAGCACAAACTGCTGCCTCCAGCTGCCAGAAATATAATTTGGAACTATTTTTCACCACACAGGCCATCTGTTTTGATTGGCTGGATTTCATGTTATGATACAGGATTAAGAAGAAAGGCTGTTCAGTGCCATAGTCTCCAATCAGGAATCCTAACTAGTATTAAATTACAAGAGGAAAATGAATGGGAGGGACCCATCCAAAAGAGCAAAACACTAAAGTTGTGAATGAGATAGAACTCCGCAATGAAACTGGGCACAGATGAACTTTTTCTCCTGGTGCCCAGGCATCGGATCTGAGGCTGGGAATCTAGAACTTCTATTACAGTCCATATGATGTATAATAAGCCTGGGAAATTCAGTGGTGCCGGAGGTTATTGAGTCATATGCTGAAGGTAGATTTTAAACACGGCTGGATAATTTTATGACTATTAATAATGTCTGTAGATTTGCAAGCTAAGATAATGATAGGGGTAATCAAGCTGCTGCCCTCCAAGTTGGGCAAGGCATAATGATTGCATAACATCTGCACCCACAGCTCTTTAGTGGCTTCCTACTCACTTCCGGCTGCTATTCAGGGAGATGGGGATAGCTCTTAAGTCCTGAGTGGTCAGAGACCACCTCTTACCCTACACTCCCTCCCTCGTCCATCTGGGTGACATGTGGTTCTCTGGCATAGTGAGGGCAACCTTTGTTTTAATACTTGGTTTCTAGTGTAGTTGAGACCATGTAATTTGGGAACTGTGCTACAGTCCTACGTCATCACAAACAAAAAATGTGACAACATACAGATGTTCTCTAACTATGCCAGAAAATTGCACTGGCACAATTCGACCTATAGTGTAGAGCAGGGGTAGGCAACCTTTCAGAAGTGGTGTGCCGAGTCTTCATTTATTCACTTTAATTTAAGGTTTCGCGTGCCGGTAATAGATTTTAACGTTTTTTTAGAAGGGGTCTCTCTCTAAGTGTATATTATATAACTAAACTATTGTTGTATGTAAAGTAAACAAGGTTTTCAAAAGGTTTAAGAAGCTTCATTTAAAATTAAATTAAAATGCTGATCTTACGCCGCCAGCCTGCTCAGCCCGCTGGGTGGGGGGTGGGGGGTTCAGGTCAGAGGGCTGGGTGTTGGGGGCAGGACTCGAGGTCAGGGCAGAAGGCTGGGTGTGGGGGGGTTCAGGGCAGA